TCCACCACACATCTTTCTCTGAGCTTTCAAGGGAAATTTAGCACACTACAGCTTTCAGCACGTTACATTTGTGAACACACTAATGGCTATTTGTCTCTACCACCCTGTCGGCCCATGCTCCTCTTGGGTTCTCTCTAGGAGAGTCAGTAGGGCTCAACTTGAGCAGAAGAATAAAATTTGCCATTCTTCCCTGTTCCTCAACCCAAGCATCTCCCATTAGTTTTCGTCACCATGATTATCACCATTTCAGCCAACATCATAATTATTGTCATTTCAGTTCCCAATCCCACCCCTTGTGCTGTGAATTTTGCCTCCCACCTGTCTTCACACCTGCCAGTCAGAAACAACACCTTTCCAAAGCCATGTTTGTCATCTCCTAAATTCATCTCCATTCTTTTCACTGCTCTTGACAAATGACATCCTCTGCTGCCTTTAACAAATTCTCTTCCTCTCTTTAGAAAAGCTCAGGAGATGGATGTGTGTCAGGAACACCAACCACCCCACAAGCACTACAGACATATAAAGCTTTCTGAAAGCTGAGTAGGTCCAAGGACTCAAACACATATATCACTTCTCAAAACACAGCAGAACTCCACTTTTAAATGTCACATTACATTCCAGAATTCTGCTCTTTTCCTCCAAAACACTGGCATCACTGTAATTTTTTTTTCTCCCTTTCCTTATTACCAAGCTGTTACCCACATAACCAGCACACTACTCCTTGGTCTGCCCAAAGTACAGCAGCCAGCCGTCCTCCAGCCACATCAGTCACTAGGAATGCTCACTTCTATCTTAGCTTTTTTCACTTGAATTCAGGCTCTTTTCCTCACCTTTTAGGTCCTCTGCATCTTGCTTGCTCCAGCTTTCTCCAAAACACACAGCACTTCCTCAGATGTTTTCCTACTGCACTGTTCCAGCTTCATGCCTCACTTTGCCTGACCATGCAGTATTGTGGCTGGTGAAAGTACACAGATGGGAGATTACCCAATTGAAAAATATGCATTTTGAATGAACTGAAATAATTTTGTGCGATCATAATTTGTGCAACAGAAAATAACTCATGAAAAAATATAAGATTTTTCCAATTTTAGAATATGTATTAATGTTTTAAAATGCAGATGTATTTTATTCTTTTATAATTTTCATGTCATATTATTACTTAATTTTTTTATAAGTGTTAATAACTTATCAACCAAACTAATGTAAAAAAGCATACAATGGAAAAAGGGGCATCTTTAATTTATTACTGATTTGATCCTAAGAAGAAATGATGAGAGCTAAACAAAAACATAAATAGAAGGAAGCTACATTATGTCGTACTGTGTGTCTGTAACACCAGGGCATACTATTGACATATTATTAATCATATAATTATATCTAGAGAATAAAATAACATAAATTTCTGTTGAAACAATGTTAAAAGTTAATTCTGAAAAAAATATAAACAAAATAAGAAGAGACGGTGTCTCTTATGTAATAAGAGCAACTGAGTACTTGGAGGCAGGGTAATGCTGTGGTCACCATTAGCATTTTGAACACCTCATGGGACAGGTCTTTTCTTTGTGACTCTGCTAGTGACTAGTGTCAGGTCCTTCATTGGGTTATTTTTTTTTTTCACCAGCTCATTTTCTCACTTTTTTTTTTCTTTCTGCCTGCAGTGTTGAACTTTTTTCTCTTTGAGACTCTTTTTCGCTCTTCATTTATGCAATAGCCAGCAAACTGGAAAGCTACTTTGGGTTGGAGCTGCAACGAAAGAATAGGTTAATAACTTCAATAACAGTCATGTTTTGGATCTTCCACATACTTCTTTGTGGTTCTTGGGTGAATCTCTGGTATACTCTGTGCTCTTATAAATCATGAAAATGGTTCCTATTGAGATTAATGCATGAAAAGCAAATAATTTGTTGGACTTACAAAGCATCATAGTTTACAGAATTCCACTAAACAAAAGGAATTTAAAGCTATTGAATAAAACAAAAAAAATTCAAGTCTGTCCTTTTTTCAATATTTTGTCCTTTACCATGTATCCTAAAGGCTCTAAAATATGTCTTAAAAAACCTCAACATATCCAACCCCAATATCTCCACTGAATAAAAGCTGCTTGAAGAATTATTGCAAAGTGGTATCAGTAGCTGAGTTCTTATTTTGCTCAAAAAGCTAAAAACTTTTTAATGGGGAGGGATATAAACAGACTGCATATACAAGTGGTTATTAGCTGAAGAAAACGAAAAACTAAAATAATGAGACCTGGAAATTGTAGATCAGCTTCTGTAAAAAGTTACAAATTGATTAGGGCATCTCCTGTGGTGAAGACGTCTGAGCTTTTAAATTTTTCATTTTAATCAGGGGTGTCTGTGAAGAAATGGGGTTTAGCAAACACATTAAAAGGAGTGCTACTATTTCCTACCTTCAAAAAGAGCCATATTTGATTTTTGTTTTGCAGAATGTGTTTGATAGCCCTCTCACCTCTTTTCCTGTTTATCGTAGATACAGAATCTTCTATTTGCCTCCAAGCCCATTCTGTACCTGGCAGTTGCCCCTTCGACACCCGCATATCACCAAATCTCAGCCGTCTCCGCAAGTGGTGAAGTGAACCTCCTGTAAACTCCTGAGCCCAAGCAACAGAGCAGAAGAAGAAGGGGACAGGGGCCATCTGAGAGGGTAGAAGCTTCTTGCTGTCAAAGGTAAAGTCCATCCATATTCAATGTGCTACTAACGGGCCAACTTTGGCAACCAGAGGAAAGGAACTTGCGGCACTTAACTTTCCCTTGAAACCCTCTGTAAAACTGCTTTTTCAGTTTGACTGTTTAGCTGAGTGATGTGGAGAGGGGAGAAAATGGAAAATGCTGTGCCCTGGTTGGAAGCTTTCAAAGGTATTAATGATGTAAGGTGGTCTGAAGTAGAGCATCTCCAGCCTCTGTTCAGCCCAGGAAAAAAACTAGAATGTTGCCAAAAGCAGATGCTTTTTATCTATAAATCTAGAATTAAGTATCTCTATATATCTATATATTTATAGATCTATGTATCTATAACAGAGTACTAATTATTTTTTGAATTTTTTTTTCCTTTTGATAGCTCAGTCTATGAACTCCTTTTAAGGGGTCCCTGACAGGCAATTAAGAAAAGTGAGCTAGCATTGCAATGCTTACAGTCACAGTGCGTCAGGTTCACACATCAAAAGCATTAGCAAGAAATATTATCTACCAACATCTGTTGCTGCATGAAGAGCCATTATCTAGAGACTCATCAACTCAACATTTAGAGGCTTATGCCTTATATGAAGTTAAAATTAATAATGCAGATGTCCTAGCTAGAGCTGAAAACTCAATATAGTAGAGAATTACACTATCAATTACACTATCAATTACACTATCAATGTAGATTGCAGCACTGCTTTTCTCTCATTGTTATTTCTGAACAAGGAATTCTATAGGGTTGAGTGCTGTATTTGTACCAGGTTTCTCTGCATGGCACGTACCAATTGAAAAACTGAGGCAGGTCAGTGAGGTATGAATAGCATCCATACCTGGAGCAGAGGACGAACACTGACTCCAGTACTCCTCTGTGCTGTGCATACAGATCCTTCTGTTCCCCCAGACAGGTGGCACAGCCAGGCAAGAAGGGGTGAATTGTGATTCCTTCCTTATCAATATAAAAATTTGCACTGTTCTCTCTTTTTTTATACCTGAGAGGCAATTTTTAATTTAGGAGAGCCCATCCTCTACTTTTATTGAATTAATCACAATTCCCATTATTGCTACAGCTTAATAACAATGATTGTTGCAAACTATTCTTCGTCTGTGTCTTTGAAGCTCTTTCAAGATGTGATCAACCTGTAAGCAAGTGTAACACAGGTTCAGCACAGCATAAATTTTCAAAAGTCTTAGCTGTGACAAGCCAAATTCTTTTGAAAGAATCATTACTTCTTAAAATGTGAACACTTATGTCTGCAAACCATATCCCCTTTTACAGGGGTCATGAACTGACATCCGAAACAATAGAAAAGGTAGCTAAAGCACTGACTCACTTTTAGAGAGCAGGTCAGTGTTTTACTATTTTAAAGCTCCCTTTGCTGCAATTCTTCAGAAATGACAGAGAGGAAACAACCCTCCTATTGTTTTGGTTTTCTCTGAACTAGAAAACTGAAGTTGGACAGAACAGGCTGAAGCACTAAATTGCTGTGTTGTAGCAATAGGCACAGCCAAGCAGCTCACCAGCTGGCCTGCAGGTCAGTACCAAACCAGAGCTTGGCGCTGCAAGTGCTGCTATGTATCCCTGAGAACTCCTTGTTGCTGCAGAGCTTTTTGTGTGTGATCCTGGATCCACCCATAGAAAACTAGCTTGCATGTCTCTGCATTCCATGCCAGTATCTAGCCCTGAGCAGCCTTGCTAAAAATGCAGTTATGCTGCTGGGTGATGGCTTCTTCAGTCATGACACATAAGGGTCTTTATGCTACAGGCAAAATGCTTCCCCACCCCAGGGAGCACAAGAGAATCCAGATCCTTAGATCAGATGCAAGGTTTTGTACCCTTTTTTATCACTATGACTATTCAGAGCATGAATTTTTCCCTGTCGTTGTGATGATGAGGGACTGGCCCACAGGCACTGAGGCAATTTCAAGGAAACCAAGAACATCCTAGTGCTTGTACTTACGTGTGTATAGGAACAATTGGCAGGCTGCCGAGGCAGCCTTTTGGGTGGTAGAGCTGCTCTTGTCCAACCAGCGAGGCTTTGACTGCATTTTGCAGTTCTTCTCTCTGCCTGGAGGCTGATCCACAGGCTCAACACAGCACGGAGAGAGGCAGAAGCCACCCTGGCAGTACTGTGCCAGGACACCCAGCCATTTATCCTTTGCTCTTTCCTGCACAGGTATCTGAGATGAATCCCACAAGCCAATCCCTTGGCACAACTGAATATGATTATGGATATGATGAAAACACTGCTCCATGCAATGAAGGAAACAGCTTTCGCAGGTTTAAATCCCTCTTTCTGCCAAGTCTTTACTGCCTCGTGTTTGTCTTCTGCCTTCTGGGAAACTCCTTGGTCCTTTGGGTTCTCCTGACCAGGAAAAGGCTGACGACAATGACAGACATCTGCCTGCTGAACCTTGCTGCCTCTGATCTCCTCTTCGTTGTGCCTCTCCCTTTCCAAGCCCACTACGCTTCAGACCAGTGGGTTTTTGGCAATGCTATGTGCAAGATAATGGCTGGCATTTATTACACAGGTTTTTATAGCAGTATTTTCTTTATAACTCTCATGAGCATAGACAGGTATATAGCAATTGTTCATGCTGTCTATGCCATGAGGATACGGACAGCCTCTTGCGGTGTAATTATCAGTTTAATCCTGTGGCTGGTGGCTGGCTTGGCTTCTGTGCCCAACATCATATTCAACCAGGAGCTGGAAATCGAGCAGGCTGTACAGTGTGTCCCCACATACCCACCAGGCAGCAATACCTGGAAGGTTGCTTCTCAGTTTGCAGTCAATATCTTGGGCCTCTTGATTCCCTTCAGCATCCTCGTTTGCTGCTACGCCCAGATACTGAAAAACCTGCAAAAATGCAAAAATCGGAACAAGATCAAGGCGATCAAGATGATCTTCATCATTGTCATTGTTTTCTTCCTCTTCTGGACTCCCTTCAACATCGCACTGTTCCTGGACTCTCTGCAGAGCCTGCACATCATCAATGACTGCAAGGCAAGCTCCCAGATAGCCCTGGCCCTGCAGCTGACGGAAACCATTTCCTTCATCCACTGCTGCCTGAACCCCGTCATCTACGCCTTCGCTGGGGTGACATTCAAGGCCCATCTTAAAGGACTGCTTCAGTCCTGTGCCCGTGTCCTCTCCAGCCCTGCTGGAGGTGCTGGGGCAGGCCAATCATTTTCGACACCCACCCAGCATTCTGGCTGGTCTGACAGCACTGGGGTCATGTGAGCCCACATGAGTTGCCTTCTGCTGGTAGAGGGGCTGGCTGAAGGTCTGATGTAGTCTTGGAGGGTGTGCCATGTGTGCAGCATCCCCCTGGGAGAAGCAGTATACCTGTACCTCCTTTTGGGATATGCTGTGAATTGTGACCTAAGTTGCGACATTAATTTTCCAAGAGCACTGGTGCACTTGTAAAATAGTGACTGTACAGGGTTGCAACAGAATGATTTTTAATTAAGTTTTTTAGAGCTCTTTTAATACATTTCAGCAAGCAAAGTTCTTCCTCTAGTATTTATTTTCTTCTCTGATGAAAGCATTGCTTCTGCCTCACCCCCAAATATGCTCTGCCTTGTGGAAGCTGTTCCATACCTGAATCCCTACATCCTTGGGACAGACATGGGGCACCCTCTAGGAAGTGGGGAAGTGGACAGGCATGGGATTGTTTCACATTGTAAAAAGGGAATCACCTCAGCCACTGTCACCGCTCCCCCTTTGCCTCAGCTCCCAGATTAAGAGGCCCCTCAGCTCAGGACCCTGTTACTTTACTGTGGGATGCCCCCAGGGGCACAGCTGGGGAGCTGCTGCTGCCCAGGGCAGCCTTTGGTGGTGATGCCTCCAAAAATAACAAAGCAATACCTCCAGGTGTCCCCTATACTGGTCACTTATGGAGGCTCATACACTTGAAAATGTTGTCATCAGAGCAGGCAGGACATTGGCATCACCTCTGGAGCTGTAGGATCTCCAACTCCGTGCTTCCAGCGCTCGCTGCTAAATATAATCACCACCAAATGGCATGTAGCAAGTAGGCTCAATCTCTTTTTACATTTGTACATATTTTCTAACATATTAGAAATGCTTTCTTTGAATAAACATATCAGCTGCACCTTTTTGTCATGCCTCCTGAAAGTCTGTCTGAAGACTCATAAGCTGAGTTTAGGATAAGGAGAGGATGATTTTTGAGTGGGTATCAAGTAAAATACATCAGTGGAAATGAGAGGCACCCTGAAGCTGTTCAGCAAAATGAGTCTCACCTTCAATTTCCTGCTGAGGAAGATTTTTTCTTTCCCAGTGAAATCAGCTTAGCACAAAACTTGGCAGTCAGGTTAAGGAGGGGACCACAGTCCAATCCAGACTGCATGAGATGTGCAACAGCAAGGAGCTGCCTTCAAGGGTATAATGTGTCAGTGTAGAGTTCCCTGCACCTTTTTAGGCCTCTAGATGTCAGGGAATGATAATTTCATACCTGGGAGCTTTTTTGGCAGCTTTTTTTTTTTTTCAGATTGAAATTGGCCATTTGTGAAACAGCAAGCAATTTACTTTGTTGACAGTTGTATAAAAGAGACTAAAATCAAGAAAAGACTGCTTTTAGGTAAAGATAATATTCAAGGACTCTGGTTTTAAAATGCTAATTTGGATCACATCTGGAGTCTTGTTAGTCAGAAGAAATAATAAGCAATAAGGGATAAGGTCACTTATAATGTGACTGCAAAAAGGAATAATATAAGTAAATATTGTGCCCCTTTTATTGTAAGAACTACCAGAACAGAGACATAAGTATACCCAGCATCATCCCAAGCACTTGTACACAGCAGAGCACTCAGAAGCATTGTGCCTTTTCTCTAAACATGAAATTTTATTTTTACTGCTTTTAACCCCAAGAGTTTATGCTACTCTTATATGTGACGGAAAGGATCTATGGAGACACCAGGCAATGTTCAAAAATTTTTGCACTTCCATGCACTGAAAGAGTGCTGAATAACAGCTCTACACTCATATGATACTAATAAGGAGCTGGTACTGCCGTTTTTTCAATTATACGTATTTTTTTAGGCAGAAACTTGTCAGCAGCAGTCTACTTTTTTATGCAGGTGTAATAATCTGCTTGGAATAAATCAGATAGCAGATGCACTATTTCCTCAGCTTCAAGGGTTCTGACACACAGTAAAACTGATAGAAGAAATTTGGCAATCTACTCATAACCAGATCAGCTAGTTTTCACATCCTGAGATGTTGTCAGCTGCAAATACCTTCAAAAGCACCAAAGAACATTCAGGTTTGATGTCACCTGGACTTCCTGGTGCTGGATGTGGCACTGTGAATATATATGCCAAAATATATAGCCTAATCTGGTTCCATTAAATTAGTGGAAAGTTGATCACTATTCAGAAACAGATGGAATAAGGAAATTATTTCTGTTTGTAGAACAGACCTTTGGATCATATGTTGCACATCTAAAGCAGTTATTGTTTCTCCAGAGCCCAAGCTGTATTGAAATGATTGATATGAGATTTCCAGCTAAACTGCTAAGTACGATTTTTCACATTTGGTAATATTTCCCTAGCTAGTTCAAAAATGTGTCTGAATCTCTCTTGAACTCTCTAGCTATTGATTTTCATCTAACACGTTTCACAGTACTCCACTTGCCTGTTTCATGTCTCTCTGTCCTTTTGTAGCATGGTGTCTATGAGACTGTGACAGGAAGATCTGACCTTACTCTACTCCAAGGCCTCTTGGCGGTGTGCAACAAAATGTCCAAACGTCAACATCCTCAAAAACACCTCCCAGAACTTTAAAATAAATGAAATATAGTAATACTGTGCAAAGCAGTGCAAAGGAGAAATGTGAGAGTTAGAAAAGCAAAATTCTAATGTAAGATGTGGTGCTGTTGGTAATTCCTCCTGGCTTTTTTTCCAGCCCATGATTCCAAGCTCACAGCTTTCATAGTGTTCCTCAGTTCTATTGACTTACCATGGGACAGCCCAAACTTAAGAGGATATGAGGCTGAATTTTAGACCTGCTACATTTGGCCCACCTCCCCAGGCTAGGGTCATGAAAAGTCTGATTGGATGAGGGCTCCTGGAAGATTAAAAAAAGTGAACATGAGAGATCATTCTACAGGAAGAAAAATTTCTGCAAGTGAAATTCTGCCTGATCAGGAGCAGTACTGGGAGGTTGTGCACACTCTTGCTTTCTATCTCTTTGGCCCCATGAAGCTTTCCTCTTTCCATAAGGAAAAACGAAGAGCTGCACCAGGTGTGAGAACAGGGTAAAGTGCTGGTTGGTTCTGGATTTACCCTTAGCATCCAGCAGGTGTAGAGGTCTGTGACCTTGGTAAGGGACTACGCCCTGCTAACGGAAAGAGTTGACAGAAGGTCAGAAGTTGTAGAAAATGTCTACTTTCCCTTGCCTCTTCCACTTCTGGGGGACAAAAACAGATGTTGATTTCTGACTAAATACTGGAGTTTCAGTTATCCAACCTGTCTTAAAATCACTCTCTATCTCTCATTTAAGAACTCTCATTTGAGATGTTTTTGCAGTATGACAAAAGTGAGAATCAACCCATAGAAAACACCTGTTGATACAATGACAGAAATCCTGCAATACTTCAGGATGATACAGCTCTGGGAAAAAAAAAAATCACATTAAACTTCGTCTTAAAACACTGAATTACTTAAACTAGTCTTCTCGATGAGTTTGGGAAACCGTGAGTATGTGCCTCCAAAGAGCTGAGAAATTTATTTACACTCCTACCAGTTGTTACTTATTTCCCATTGGGTGCTGAGGGTAGTGAGCTCCAGGCAGACCCCTGCCACTGCCAGTTGCAAGCAGCTTTACAGTATCATCACATAGAGAGGCTGCTTCAGAGACACAGGCCTGTGAGGTCAAAAAACCCATCCTGTGCTCAGGCTAAACAGCAGTTGAGAGCTGTGACTAAGAGGATATAGGGCTGCTGGTTCTGGATTTCACTCAGATGTACCTATAACTGCAAAATACAAACACATTTCTCCACTTATTACAGCCTGTGCACCAATATGTCCTCAGAACTGGCTATTGGAGAGCCCCTCAGGTTTCCAGCAGTTCAGGGACATGGACTACTTCCTCTCTTTTCTTTTGGGAGTCCCTAGCACCTTGATTTCTTTTCTGCTGTAAACATGCTAGAGGGTAAGTCTGTGCCTTTGTCCCTAATCCTTTCCTTACAGCACATCTTTTTGCTTCCCCATATCAACCTCTCAGTTTGTTGGCTCTCAAAAACAAAGGTCAGCAAAGGTGCCCTGTACAGAGGGCTGGTGAGTGAATCTGTTGAATTTCTCTAGCCTATCTCCAGCTCAAAAATATAAAAATTTCCTGAAATATATTTCTATATCTTCTTAGTACTGCTGTGTGAAATATTCTTGTTACAGGGGGATCTATGAAAGGAGAGACTTCTGCAACCCTGTAAAGGAAGACTCTGCTTCCCAAGTGTCTTCTTCAGCCTTGCGGCCCAGTGATACAGTGTTGGTACTGCTATTCCTGGGCTACCAGCTTTGTACTGAGTATGCAAGGTCTTGGGGCTAAGGTTTGCCAGCCTGGCTTTGTCTGAACCCATTTTGATCTGCCCAAAGCTTTGTTTTTGCTTGGTTTAGCTGTAGGTGCAGTTCTTCTGAGTAGGAGACTATATTTAATCTGCCCTAGTTTTGCTTATCTTTTGTGGTACAACCACAGTTTTTATGCAGATACTAGTAAAACAGTTATTCTTTCTAACATGACTCTAACATGATGCTGCAACATAGAGAAATACAGTCTGTGTATGACAGCAGGGGCCTTGAGAAGTAGGGAAAGAGCAAGAGCTGTAGAGGAACAATTTCATAAGAGACGAACTGGCTGAAGTCACTGACCTTAGGACTCAGAGGAGCAGTGGAAAAGTAAAAGAATTACACTCAGAAAAAGGGTATAGAAAACAGATTTAACTATTCATTATTGTTGATGATGCAGCATTATTATTATTAGTAGTAGTAGTCGTAGTATTAGTATCATTATTAGTATCACTATTACTTCATTGTTGTTTCTGCCCAGATGTATTCATGTCTTTATTATTTTTTCCTCCTTTCTTTCTTTTTTTGAGATAATTAGATCTGGACTAATAATGATTGCTGTTATTACAGTGCTGATAAGTGTAATTATACTAAAAATAAATTATTTTTTTTGTGAATAAAGTGTTTCTTTTCTGACCACTGTGAGCATTACATTTGCCCCACAAATGAGGCCAACTGTACCACATTGAACACCTTGGTAGACAGGCTGGGTTGTAGTACCACAAATCTATGAGGTACAGCAGCCCTTTGGGGAAAATCGAAACAGGTGTGAGAGAGGGAATGTGCTTTGCCCTGAAAGCCTGAGATTACACAGGTCTGTGTATGATAATCAATTTAAAGCCAGGTTCTGTCAAGTGTTTGAGATCAACCACTGAATTCAGTAAGGCAGGACACAACAGTCATTGGGATTTGCATAATATTTTCCAGGGATTGACATTAGAGTTAAAAAGATCCAGGTAAGAACTACATATTACCTTCTTCTCCTATTTAAGCTCAAGTTATAAGGAAGAAGAGTTGTATTAGCCAAAATCAATGACATTGCTCATTTGTAGCTATGCACTATAACTATTTGTAGTCCTTAGACTTGAATCTTGGCTATAGAAACACACCTCACACTGTTTTCTTTCTCATACCTTATGTGGGTTTTGCTCTTCATAATTAGAAATATATTATAACCAAAATACATTATCTCGTGCAAATCCCAAATGCATTAATAAATCAACCCAGAAGTGAGATACAAAACTTTCTGTGGTTTGCAATTTCTGCTGAAATGACCTCATGATGCCACTAAATTCTGAAACTTGTTAACTTCAACTTTCTTTAAGAACTTGAAAATCTCAGAGGTCTGCTCACACTCTGGTGGCCTTTAGATGACTTCTATGCCCAACTACTCTCTCTCTCTCTCCTTCTGTCTGCAGTTCCTTTCCTTCTCTCGAATGGGAGAAGATAATCAAGTGTATTCTCTCATCCATCCCAGTGCACTCCAGTGTCAGCTG